TAGACTATTTAGCCTGCCGAGTATCTGGTGTCCGTCTCGTGATTAAGAGTTGGACATGCATCTGTAAATGTGTGTATCACCACTTTTTCCTATTTTATTTTCCTTTTTAGGAATCATGCAAAAGCATTTTGTTGCACGCAGTGAAACTAAATCAAGGTTTTGCTCAGGCCTGACAGCAGATGCCGCAACATTCAATTTGCCTGGCTTTCATGAGAAAACAGTGCAGAGATTAGGCCAACTGGTAAAGAGAACATTTAGCAGCATGTTCATCTCAGGGTGATCCCAGAAAATCACTTCCCCATGGCTGGGGTCCTGACCGGGGGAAGACCCGCTTTGACAGCTGCACGTTTTACCTGTGTGTCAATATGTTGGTGACTTGTGTTGAAATGAAAGGGGAACGTTTGGGAATGGAAAGACTATTCTGGTTTTCCCCTTGGTGGTGATTTTGTAAATATTTGTACATAAAATAAGATTTTAGAATTGCATTTAATCAGCTTTAACATTTACTCTTCAATATATAGATCAAAGTCAGAGTTTAGCATTTTATTCGCTAAATAAATGATGTTTAACCTTCTTAACAATTTTTTGTGACTATTCAAGTAGGGAAATATATTGGCTACAGGCCTTTTTGCTTTTGCCATACACGTATTAAATGTGTAACTTTTTTATAAGAGGCCTGGTAAAAATGGTCAAGAAAAAAAGAGCATTGCAAATATGCACTTTATTCCCTAAATGATTGACATTAATGTAAACTCATAAATGTTATATGCTGTATACTACTATACACTATGCCTTTAACATGAGCTGTTAAATGCAAAAGATCTGCCGATATGCTCCGGTTTCATACGCATGACAACATCAATCAAATACAAAATGATCCTACAGACCATTTTCAATTCGGTCTCCTGCTTTGATTGCGCCATAACTGATTTAACATATCCCAGTGTATTTCATTGAGGAAACATTTGACTTTCATAATCAGACATTCTTTGGGATGATATATTCCAGAGCATCCCACAAACTTGAGTTGAATTCCAAAATGTGAACAAACATTTGGATCTTCACCACCCTTAAAAGTAAAGTCAATTAGATTCTAAACTAAACGTTTTTAGCATATAAAAAGCAAACTATTTCAATATGAAAGCTATCATAGCCAGCACAGCATATTTTTAAGTGCTGGCTCTTGGCCACACTTTTCAGGGTTTCTAAGAAAACACAGTGAGAAGGGGCCAATTTCAGAATACCAATACTAAAGGCACAGTGGGGAGCCAAGCACTATTTTCTACACACAATTTACCAATTTTGAAGTGACCCCCTCCATTTAAACTTGAGAAGGGCAGCATGCTGCTGAGAGAGACGAGGTGAGCGGTGAAATGGAGATCACAGTGCCCCAAACCGACCCCTATGAGCCTCGAGGTAGAAGATTCCCCCGACCAAACCCCACCCTGAACGCATTGGCCCTCTTATTAGTCAATCAAGCCTTTTTTCTATGGCCTTGAAATGATCTACATTCCCTTTCCCATTGAAGCGCTTTTTGAGTGGGAAAAAGCCTCATAGGACCACTGTGTATGTCAACTTTGATGTTTTCTTTCTATTTTTGTGAAGCTTCAGTGGGAACTTTGGAGAGTTATGCATGTCTTGAAGGGCAACCACATCTGTTCTGCATTAGGTGCCGGCCGTCAACATTGTTACTGGGGACCTAATTTAATATTTTCTCTGTTTTGATCTTCCACCTTTAATCACTGGCTCTTGGGAGGATCGGCTTTCCCCAAGAAATTGTCCAAGAGCCGAAAGAAAATGTTATTGCAGTATGTTTATGGAATCGTACATGTGAAGAGGGGACTTGCCCAAAAAATGCTGCCTAAAGTCAGGCCGCGCCGAGAAGAACGGATAGTTGAGTTGCGGGTGAAAAACCGCGACATAACTGTACACAGTCAGGACATTCCAAACTCCCAATTTCAATTTCTACAAAAGCTGCTTCACCGAGATGGTTTGAGATAATATCCGCAGCGTGAAGGAGACAGCGGAGGGGGGAGGCGAGCAGAGGGCAGGCACCACAGGATAGGTTTGGGTTTCTTTGAATCAGCACCACTGCTTTTAATAAACCACCATTTCTAATATAAATGTAACAGAACATAACAAAACCTTGGTTGTGCAGAGCTGCTGCGACCGGGCTCATGTTTGCCTGAGACTGATGGTTGGAGACATCAGGTACAACTTAAAGTCCTGACTCCCCGAGGGAAACGTAAAGTGGTTCTTCAAGGTGCCTTTGAAGAGGTTTGTGTTCATGATATTCATGGCAGGCCAAGGACGTTTGGCTGCAGAAGCAGAACTCACGACATGAAGCGAAGCCTTTTATTCACAAATAATCCATCTCCTGCTTCCAACCATTGAGGCTGTCTCAGAACCTCAATTAGAGAATCACATGTGACATACTTTTGAAGTCTTAATAAAGGGAGCTTAATGCTCTTGACCTTTTTTGTAACGTTTGGGCCACTGCAGCCTAAATTCTAGATCGCATTGTGTAATTTTTCTGGGTCGGTTAAAGACTCAGACCCGGGCCAGTCAGTGGGGGAGCAGTGGCGCTCGGACCTGACAGTTGGCATCAAACATTCTGGGCTCAAAACTGCTGAGTCCGGACATTTGGGCCCAAAAGTGATTTTCGTCCTCCAACAACTTATCTTTTGTTTTGCCAGATCTCAAGCACAGCAGTCATTTATTCTGAACTGCCCACACTTGGCAAGATTTGAAAATTGATGAATTCTGACCGAGGTTGTAGTAAAAATAGTGTTACGGTCCGTCCACACAGCGGCGTGCGTTGTCGCTTGCCGGCGGGCGTGTCTGAAACTCGACCAACAACCAATCACATGAATCTCCCGCCCCTGACTCACAAGCAGCGGTTTGATTGGCTAGAGCTTGTACTGGCATATGATTCGATTGGCTGACGCTTCTGCCGAGGCGTCAAAAGTTGAACATTGCTCAACTTTTGCAGCGAGCCACGCCAGCAACGCTCCGCGTCGCTTCCCACAATGCAGTTCGGCGAAAAGTGACGTCACCCCATTCAAAGTGAATGGTGAAGCGTCAACGCACGCCGCTGTGTGGACGGGCCGTTAGTGTTTTATTTATCTTCTAAGTTGTTGTAACTTTGCAGTCATTTTGTGATGGGATCATTCTAGCGCAAATGTCAAATTTGGCCAGGGGTGTGTGTGTGTGTGTGTGTGTGTGTGTGTGTGTGTGTGTGTATGGGACCCTTGATCAAACCACACCAATTTTCCAACATCTATTAAGTTGACTGTATCTTGCTGAGTTGCAGTGCTATCACAGAGACACATCTGTCCAAAGACATGTGGACCCAAATATAGAAACCTGGCAAAGCATTCAAAACATCTTCTGTGATAGTTCCTGCTACAGTAAGTGTCTCAGTGAGGAAGTATTGCCATAATGACACACACACAGATTCACAAGCTAAAAACAACTGCCTTCACTGCTGGCAATAATAATCGCTGGGCATAATTTGCTCAAGTTTTGCAGGAAGAAAACGGTCAAACAGGCATGTCACAAAGAAGACTAGCAGACATGGATATAACTGAGTGACTGAGTCATTTAGTTTGAAGTATGTAGCAACATCATAGACTGGATATATACAGTATATACATATACATCAATATCTCAATGCTTTGTGAGATGCTGCAGAGATGGGTTACAGAAAGGAAAGAAGCTCATTGGGTAAGTAATGGCTATGTGGAAAGCTACTTTGTTTTAAAAACATAAGATGACATTGCATCCTTTTAAATTGAATTTTGTTGTACAGAAAACCAGAGCATCGCTAATGCCGATTAAGGAAAAGTAATACCATTTTTAAGTAGAGTTAAAACGTTCACAGGGAGAAAATAAAGTTATGACTCACTAAGTAATGGTACGATTTCGGAATTAAATGAATGATAACTATTAAAGTATACATAGTCAAGACCATAAAGTAATTTTTTTCTTGTAAAAATTTGTGAAATTGTTTCTTAAAGAGGAAACATTTGATATAAATTATATTCTGCTTGCACAAAGACTCAGATTTGAACCTGGTTTATTGCATTTCGACAACACTCGTTAATACACTAAACCAACTTATAGCCAATATATTCTCACAGAATTGAGTAACTGTTGTACAAAGAGCTTTTTCATATATGAAAGTGTAATACTATTATGTAAAATAATCGTAAAAGTAGGCTGCTATTTTCAGAACTGAACAGAAATCAGAAGAGTGCATATAATACAGCTGCAGCTGTAACAACACATCAACTCTTTCCAACTACACATACAGCAGCTAAGAACATTAATTGAATCAGTGTTGAACAATAAAACGATATCTGCTTCAGGATTATATACATGCGTCAGCTGAAGATATGTTATGGCAATGCAGGGTTGTATATGTATGTGAATGATTCTGATGAATGTGTCATAATTATGAGATATTTAATGCATGTTCTGTGTCGTCATATAAAATAATGTCGTAGAGGTTTTTTCATCCATTTTGCACACTCATTCACATTGCATAATAAAGTTGTATAATGATATGCACTGCTCAGAGACGGCCTGCTAACAGCGAACAGCTGGTACACACTGTACTGAACATCAGCATTCAGTTTCACTTTGACATCGAGCATGCTGGATAACAGATGAACTTCCTGTACACATGTCATAAACTTACTGTTGCTTTTATAGTTCAACATGAGCAACACTGTCGCTAAACCACTTCAGTTTGTAGCTGTCATTACAAGTAAAGTCAGTCTGTGCCGATGCTAGCCCGGTTAGCTAAAGTTAGCTTGAGGAAACACTCACCACTTCTTTCGCCTTCGGAGAGAAGCCTATCTTGGGTCTGCTCCTCTTGAAAATGTCATCTTTAGGAGAGTCTAGGCCGATTCCTATCGCCTTGTTCCTGGTTTTTACAGTCTTAACACTGGCTTTGAAAAGTAAAGTTATATCCACAGCCATGTCTGTGAAGCTGCAGCGCTGTAAACAAATCGACACGTCACCAAGAGACGACGTCACTCTCCTGCGACGCTGTGGATTTTCCCTGAGACGGAGAAGAAAGCCTTACATTTTACCTTAGGGTTTTTATCAGTAATTAATGAATGTAGCGTGTACTGTACCTCGCAGTATTTACATTTTGAGAAAGGCTGACCTGCTCTCAGGTTGCTCGTCGCTCGCCATTGAGTTACAGGTGAACAAAACCTTAAAACTTCGAAAATCTCTTATTTTATACCTTAAATCTAAAAACACTTAAGTGGTAGGCTTAACCTGTCAGATAGATCATACAGTTTAATGGCATATTTACATGTTTTGCACCAACGTTACTAAATTAAGGATGTATTATGGAGCAGCATACTGGAAATTAATAATCTATCTTTGTTTCTTCCAGAAAAAAATGCCACTACAACTTATTGAAGGGATGTCCAGCAGGAAGAGAAGACCCAACTGGACAGACCAGGAGTGTCTTCTTCTTGCTATGCTAATGCAAGAGAAGAAGGACGTAATCAGAGGGAAGTGCAGCACTGGAATTACAATACAGGATAAAAGGAAAGGCTGGGAGGAAATAACCCAAGCCATAAATGAAGCCTTTCCACTGTTTCAGCGTACAGTGTCTGACTGTAACAAAAAGTGGGAAAATCTAATGTCAAAGTCAAGGGAGGAGATCAAACGGCACAGAAGCCAATCAAATACAGGTAAGGAAAATATGCAGTTTGATAGCAATAAAATGTGCTACAAAGGTATCATTAAGTCTAAATGTAAACCTTGAGGGTGGATATGTGGGGATGGCTGGAGGAAAAACACATGTTAAAAAATAAACATCTAGAAGAGGAAATGGGCTGATTGACATCCGCACAGTTTTAATTGAATATATGTGATTATGTTCATTACCTCATGCACAACATGATTATTCACTTACAGAAGGCCTGTCCATGGAGCAGTTAAGTGCTGTGACTCAGGTAGTGGTTTCTGTGATGAACCTCTCAGACAGGCTGCAACAGGATGGAGAAGACTCTTCAATCTCAGGACTGGTGGAAACTCAACATAACAGGTAAAACATTGTTGGCTGTTGTGTGTGCCGAGACCGAATCAAAACAAACTTAATTCTATGCGGTAATTCATTTAAAATCTGTAATTTGGGTCTTTTAACCCCAATCAAAGCATAGACTCTTATTGAATTCATTTGGTTAATAGACAAACCTCACTTTGAACATTTTTAAGTGCAACTTTGTACAAATATATAATCCCCTGTGAAAATTCTGAGAATATTGTTTCTTTCAATAGATGCTTACATTCATTTATCAAATCAAATGTGTCAGTGCTGTGAGCACACCACAAACAAAGTCCAATGTGTAATCTCACAACCTGGACAAATTAAACTCAATAACAAGAGGCCATTTAGAAAAGGTATTTGATTAACCAATCATGAACCTTGAGGATGAATGGACAATTCTTAGAAATTGTATTAATCATTGACCACCTTTTTTCAGTTGTGATGAAGATGGAAATCAGCACTCAGTTGATGAAAGATTCTCCACCAGTCATCCCCTGAGAGAGCTTGACCTCCCGACACATACAGGATCATCAAGTTCTCCAGCAGAACAGAAAATGACTGTTTTTGCTAACTTCCCAAAATCAATCGCAATGCATTTTAGTTCTCCTCGTGCTGCTGACTTTGCAGCTTCTGCAGAACACCAGGAAACCTCCTGCTCTTCTTCATCTCCAGGCAACTGCACAACGCTGCAAGAGCGATTGGATTTGGAAATGTCAGTACTAAGAAGACAAGAGAGAGTTCTAAAGCTGCAAGAAGAATATTACACACTTAAAATCAAGATGATGAAAAAGACAATAGAGCCGCCACTGTCAAAGAACTGAAGTAACTAAAGAACGACCTGTTGCTTCGGTTTGTTTCTTGTGAAATGTATTTGTGAACAACCTTTTGTTTTGTTGTGAATTTGTATTATCGCTTAAATTGATTATATGTTGACATAGAAACAGCAATATAACAGTGAATAAAAGTAAAAAAACACAACACTGTGTATGGACTTCTCTAACAAATGAATGCAAATAAATAAACATGTCCAGACATCCATCTAGACGTAAATATACCTTCACACAGCTCAGCCACAGCATACACTTACAAAAGTGAGAAAGGACAACATATGCTCACACATCCTACATATTGCACAAACATACAGTCCAAGGTCTTTAGGTTTCCCTGTCTGAATGAGGAACACAGATCTCCGCCTCCAGTTGTCATGAAAAACACTTTTCTACTAGCTGACCTGCATCATGCCAGGTTTTTGAATTATTCATACAATACGTTTTGGTTCATTAGTTTATTTTTATTTGTGTCGAACCACTTTTATAGGCTTCTTCTTCATCAGCTTAAATCTGGGGAATCCTCAAGAGGACACACATATTTCCTTCATCTAGGGAAAAAAACTCTACAAACGAACTCTCTCTGGCTGCTCTGGATGGATAAAGCTGAAAAGTCATAAATATATTAAATAGAAAACCAAGTCAAATCCCCAACAACATGAAAACCCAGAAGGAAAGGAATAGAAATAAATATACACATTTACTAACAGTAAAATGAGTGGATACTACAGTATAGGATTTCAACATGATTGTTTCTGAAAAGGTTAAATAGATAATAATAGTAGTGGTGCTAAGTAACTTTTCATTTACAGTATTTCCACCTCCAACCAGGCAAGATGTTACCAATGTAGCTTTGAATATAGTCTTTAATCATTATTACTCATTATAACACATACAGAAATGTTTTATGAGAGTCCTGTAAAGCCATTTACTCAGTGTACTGCTGGCCTTAATCGAAGAGGGTGAAAGCAACCAAAATGTGGAATAAAAGGCTTTGGATGGACCGTGTAATATGTTGGGTTGTTTGTAATGTCTTTTTCAGAGACTATCCCTCTTGAAGGCAGTATGGTCTCCACAGTTAACTGAATCTTATTCTTAGTCAGCATATTTGTGTGTCGTTTCAATGATTTTGTATTGCCATTCCCATAACGAGCCAGTCAGTGTAGTTTATATTCTCACACACTTTGTCTGGTTATAATAATGTACATCAATCAAACATTGTTAAAGTAAGGTCTCATCTACACTCTTGTATGAAATATTGGGCAAGTGGACTGTATACTTCTGAGTACAAAGTAAAAAATGACACTTTAACAAAAGCTCACATAACCTAAATATTTTCCCAGCTGAAAACCATGTGCCATAAAATTGCGAATTACAACTACAGCGTTTTTTAATTCTTAAAAGGAATTCTTTACAGGAAGTGTAATTTAGTTTAGTTTATCTGGCAGGGAAGTCCAACTTGTATGTATGGTTAAACACTGTGAGGAAAGTAGTTTATTTACTGAATCATGTCATTTACTCTTAAGTGTGAATTTGGAAGCTGTAACTGTTTGACATGTAACAATATACATATTTATGAAATTTGAACTTGGTCATGCCAATGAAAGTAAAGCAACGATAATGTTCTGTCTAGACAAATGTAGTAATTTGTGCGTAATATTTTTCATAACTCAGTGTATTTGTTAACGACGGGGCTTGGCACCCAGATGTAAGCAGTGGGGCCCAGAGTGTTGAATAAAAGTCTGTTATTTGCTGTGTGGTTTGCTCATTTCCTTTGTTAGTGTTGTGCCAGACTGTGTTAGAACCCAGTGCTGTGACTGTCTCTCCCTTTCTGCCGCCTCAGCATGAACTCCTCGTCATTTTCTTTCATCCACTTTTTAAGTTTTGACTGCGGAAAGAGAGCAGCTTTTCAAGATCCAAGGTTATGGGCACGGAAAGGCACAGCTGCGTTTATGATACCTAATGTGTTGATATGAGGAGTCAAACAGAGCATTAAAGTTTCCTTACTTTTATCTAACCGCAGGATAAAACACACTAATTGAGCTTACTGCAAGCATAAGCTGTTCTGGGATTGACTGGAGAAAAGGATAGCAAGCTGCTCCTTAACAACTGATTAGATCAAAATATGTTTGAAGAATCACAGTGTTTGCCCTCATTTGCTGAAAAAACACATTTTCTCCGATCATGCTTTTTCCAAACCTTTTCTGTTTGATGTAGTCTGACTCGATCAGATGAGCTTACACACTTCTTCACTTGCACCCCGTAAATATGTTCAGATGAGTGGAATATAGACCTTATTAGATGGAACACAAATACATAAAACTGGATGGAGTATAGAACAAACAAAGAACTGCTTATCAATTTATTTTAAGTCTGTAAGAAGTAGCATAAAATCAAGTCCAAGTACCTCACAATTGTACTTAAAAGTAAATGTACTTTGTCATTTTCCATGCTAGTAATGGTAAATTACTACATTGATCATATTTGGCTCTCCAGTTTCCACTTCCACTACTTGGATGTTCTTTTAAAATCCAATTACTATTTCATTTTTTGTTTTTGTGTTAATTCAACTTTCCACATACCCTTGGACAACTTTAGAGGTGTAGGTTACCATGATTGAGAATCAGTGCTCTAAAAGTCGGTTTCTATTCATGTACCACGAATATTGTCTGACCTAAGCACTAAAGTTCTGTTTGCTTAAAAACTGATATTTTTAATATTGTAAAGCTGCAGACATACTGATTATGTAGACTCCTGATGATGCACCAAGAACTCAACTTTGATCCAGCATTCTTTACAGGAATTCCTTGATCCTATCTGTCCTCTGGATGAAGCGTTGGTGATGGTATCCATTCCTCCCGTCCCTGACAGATGAGCCATGTTTTGGAGTGTCCTCTGGGCAGTCCACTTAACTGCCTGAAAAGGAACCCCTTAATCTCCACTTTCTCTTTGTTTGCACTATTATCAGACCTGTCAGTCCTGGCCGCTTTATCTTTACAGGACTCATCTTCTGGCTGTTTGACGTTGGCTTAATTCTATCAAAGGCCCTTATCTCTGCTTTGCTTCGGGATGCATCCTTTCTCCGACTCGCTAGAATGGTCCCAACTCTGATAAGAGGACGTATTTTGGGGGCAAATAACACTGTTTTGTGTAAGGGCGTTTTCATATGCATATCGGTGGCTCTGCCTTACATGTTCTGCTGGATTTTGCTTGGTTGACTCCCTCAGTGTCGGTGTGTCTTCTACAGTCTGCATTGTTAATTTTGGGGTGTAGTCTGAAATCTGAGCTAACGACGCAATGCCATCCACAACCAACACTGATCCAAATTGGAGATTGTCCACTTTGATGGCAGTTAACTCTCTGTCTTTTAGCAGTCATCACTTGAAACAGTCTGTAGGAATGTCATGCAGCTTGATCTGGTGAAGAGCAATTACATGGGAGGGAGCTGTTGCCTTTGAGGTGGAAGTTTACCTGCCACACCCTGCATGCTTACAAATGAGCCTCTGGACACGTACCAAACGTGTGAGACTGGTCCCTTTTCTTCGCGTCCTTCTTCCCGTGACATATGGTCTGACATGATTTGACAAGTGGGGGGCGGAGAGGAAAGATTTGGCCGTGATGGTTATTTAACTCATCAAGTTTGCTTTGGTTGGCATTATGTCACGAGACAAATAGAAGTCTTTTCAGAGCCCAAAAGGTATTTTGTGTTGGTGCCAGGTATTTGACTCAGGTCCCAAATATCTGAGGTTCCTTTGTGTCTCATGATGTCAGTTTAATTTAATTATCAACAACAGAATACATTTGTTATTTTTGATGTATTGTCAAACAATACATAAGCTGTATTTCTAATTTACAGTTGGTAATACTGTGTGTGCGTATGACTGTTTCCATGTGTGTGCCGGTGTGTGAGACAGTGGGAAAGGATCAGGTTCTGGTGTGCATACACAGTAGGCCATCTATGAGTTCTGTACATGGGTTTGCATGTCAGAGAATATTTAGATGTTAATTCTTTTTTACCACTATAATAACCGAGACCCAGTGTTCGCATGAATCATAAGCATTGCATGCAAGGTCATGTGCACGTACGTTGCCTGGAAAACGAATCATGGAAAAGACATGCGGCTTAGCCACTTGGACCAACAAAGAACTACCAATAGGTTAAGTACAGATGTTGCAATCACAAATTGGATTTTCCATAATGCAGTCGCTGTTACAAACGCTTAACTTTATTTAGATTAGAAAGGGCATTGCCCATTACAAACAGGCTTCAGGCACAATGTCTCTACTCCAGGGATTAACCACAAGTTATGCTTTTATTTTGTTGGCGGGGTGACAGCCAAGAAAGGGAAACTTTCTAAAAAGTCACGGTTATAGGGAAAATTACCCTTTAACTATTTATTTTATTTTGTCTTACCCTCCACCACAAGCACAAACAAAATGGTTAAACTACTTTGGGACACTGAGTGGTTGGACTATGGCCATCAATGTTATCATTGTGTCTTTTTTGGCTCAAAAAGGTCTCTAGTTTCATTGTTGCCATCAGTTTGGAGGTCGTTTTACAAAGAAAGTGGACATGAAGTGAGTTTCAAATATGATCATCAAGCCATGGCCACACTAAGATGGTCCAGATTCAAGCATTCTGGATATGCTTGACTTGATCCATTTTTCCACAATGGTCTTCAGAAATGGACAGCAATTGCCCCACCAGTGAAAGGGGATCCTCTTTGTAATTAAAGCCAGTAGAAAATTGGATCATTTTTTGCCTGGACAGCTTTCACATTCCAGCCTAATATGGCATTGGAAGCTTTTGAAGTTGCTGTCCTGGCAGTCCCAAATTATACCTTTCATCAGCCAATCATAAGAAAATGGCAACCTGACATTCCCAATCGAAATGCACTTTTGACTGGAGTCTGTGTAATCAAGAAATGCATGATGCCCACTGACAAATCGACTATGAATACTAGAATTATAATTTACCCATTATAACTCATGGAATCTTTTATTTTTAAGATCAAAGAGACATTTTAACTTGATCCACCAAAAGTCAAATATGTGTAATTATCTCTTTACTTCTTATTGGTTCTAATGATTACTTTTTCAGTGAACCCTGAGTAATGCCACTTATTATAATTATGTGCTATATACACTGTAAGTTTTATGACTGTACTACTATTTAACACTATCACTTACTTAAGTATTTTTGAACCCTTTGCAAACATTGGGGCCTTCCCAAGATCTGTAACTGTAACGTCATGGATTCAAGTGTGGCAGTTACCCATGCTACTATCATACATTATATTTTCATCATGAAGTTTCTCTCTCTCTTTTTGAAGACGCAAAATTTCACTCGGGGGAATCTATGTTTTCAAAGTCTTTAGTACAACCAACATAATGTGTTTATTTTCCTGTCAACCAAGGAAAAACCACCTTGGCTGGACTGAAAAGACACATCCTGTTACTGTAGAAATATGTGAGTCTTACCAGAAACACACAGGCTTAGTGTGAGCAAGTAGTGCAGGTCGGAATTAATCATGTTGCTTTGTCGCCACTGCAATGGACAGTTATGCTGCTTCGCCCCTCTGAGCTTAAGTTAAACGCATACCTCTGGGATTCACTGAATAGTTTCTTGTAACTTCTGCACGGTCATCCAATTACAGCTTGACAGAGCTTACATAGACAAGTTCACACTGACACAATAGTCTTTGAGGGGTAAAAAGCTCCATGAAAGTGTTTACAGGGCAAGCCACTGGTTGCCCCATTGCCTCATCCTTACTGGACAGCTGTTAAAATGTGATGTTGGAACTATGGGCGTTAGCACAAGTCGGCGGGTTGACTGAGAAAATGTATTTTATTGTGAGGCTGTTACACTGCGGTCGCATAGGTAACATACTGCAATGTTCTCCTCCATCAATATAACGGCCTATCATTTTGTATAATCTTTGTTGACCCACAGCGTACAAAAGTAAAAACTCTTCCCGGACATCAATTGGCCAGTTGAGGTCAATTAAACTTGTGCTCTTCTGCTGAGAGGCTGTTGGCTGACCCACTCACCCCGAAAACAATGGCCACTATTATGCATTCTCAGACTTGTATTCTGTACAGGCACGTACTTCTGCCCCAGAACAACCCCCTCG